TTTCTAGAAACCCTGAATCCAATTCCCAACAATCCCTAAAAAGAGAGCATGGCGGCACAGAGGTAGGGGTCAGGAGGATCAGAATCTCAAGGTCATCCTCAGCTACATCGAGAATTTGAGACCATCTCAAAAGTACTGTGGGATCGTGTACATCTTAGACTATAGATTTGCTAATTATACAAAAGTTTAAAACCACCTAAGTCATATTTTAGTTTTGGCTTTTTGAGACAGGGTCTTTTTGTAGCTCAAGCTGGTCTCAATCTCACAAAGATCAGCCAGCCTCTGCCTCCCTAGTGCTGGGATTAAAGGTGTGCACCCCTATGCCCAGCATACTAATAACTTTTAACAGTTGATAGCCACCATGTGGTTGCTGGGCATCAAACCAGGGTCCTCTGGAAGAACAGCAAGTGTTCTTAACCCCTGAGACATTTCTCCAGCAACCACTCCCCCCCCGGCATGCTAATATTTTTAAAGACACTTCACTACTTAGGTACAAAAGTGCACCAGTAGTGGGAACTGGGATAGCTAATCCCAACATTGGGAGGCAGAAGCTGGCAGATCTCTGTGAGTTTGAGGCCAGCCTGGTCTACATAGCAAGTTCCAGGACAAAACTATATCACTAGGCTGGGTGTGGTGGCTCATGCCTTTAATCCCAGCACTTGGGAGGCAGAAGCTGGCAGATCTCTGTGAGTTTGAGGCCAGCCTGGTCTACATAGCAAGTTCCAGGTCAGCTGGGGCTACAGGATACCCTGTCTCAAAAAGACAAAAAAAAAAAAAAAAAAAAAAAAAAAAAAAGATAAATAATACAATACTTGCAAATATGATTATGGGCTGGTGAGATGGCTTGACAGATCAAAGTTCTTGCCCTACAACCCTAGAGATCTGAGTTCAATCCCTAAAGGTGAAAGGAGAGAATCAATCCCACAAAGATGTCCTCTGACCACCATACACCCCTCCCCGCCCACATAATGCACATACATACACACAATAATAAATGAAGTGGGAGGCTGTGTACACTTATTTAAGAGTGTAAATCACTGAAATGCTTTGGAAGTGAACTGGCACTGTTTTTGTATAGAGGTCTCACTCTTGCTAAGACTCCTAATCCCTGGCACTATTTTACACTTTATTCCAATAGTAATTCTACATCTACCTGTGAGAGTGGAGCCTTGCTACAGTCTTGGTTTGCCTAGAAATCACTATGACCAGGCTAGCATAAAACTAGTGATGTTCCTCCTGCCTCTACTTCTGAGTGCCTTGGTTATAAGAGTATAGTACCAGATCTAGCTCTAGAATTTCTATTCCAACACAAGAACTTTAAGATAAATTTAAAGACATTTTAATTAGAAACAAACCAACTGCTGGGTGTGGTGGCGCAAGCCTTTAGTCCCAGCACTTGGGAGGCAGAGAAAGACGGACCTCTGTGAGTTCAAGGCCAGCTTGGTCTACATAGTGAATTCCAGGCCAGCTGGGGCTATATTGAGACCCTGTCTTAAAAAGACAAACAAAAAAACCACCAACCAACCAGAGCTAGGGATGTAGCTTGGTTGACAGAATGCTCACATGGCATGCATAAAGCCCTGGGTTCAATGTCTAGCATCATATAGACAGGGCATACTGACACATACCATAAACCCAACACATAGGAGGTAGAGGCAGGCAGGATGATCCGTTCATAATCTTTCTCTACTACATAGCCAATTAAAGGCCAGTCTGAGCTACACGAAGCCCAAATCTGAAACTAATCAACCAACACTATAGTTCTAAGAGAAACACCAGAAGATAGCTGGATATGAAAAATATGGTGAAGCAATTATATATAATCAAAATAAGACTAACAAATTCTCAGCCATTTGCACAATGTCTAGGACTGTCCATAAATTTATCATCTCACTGACCTTTTAGATGTTTTATACTGTTTTGTTCTAAATGCTCTCACAAACTCATTACCAGCCTTCTATTCTAAATACACACAGAACACTTGCAGAACCAGCAGTACCATTCATCCCTTCAAAAGCAATTTTTCATAGATAGGAAATGGCAAATTTGAGATTTGCATATGTATACAGGAAGGGTATTATTGGTCACATGGTATACACCCCAAAGGGCTCAATTACCCACCATGCATTACTACAGCTGAGACAGAGCTCTTCATTTTACCAAAAGCAGACCATCAAATTAGGTTCTAGGTTCTAGTTTGGAGAAACACAGGGCTAAGACAACACAAGATTCTTCCTGGAATAGTTGCTTCGATCATACTCCCTAACTACCACTAGGAGTTACCAAAATTTAAAAAATGAATGCTTGGATCCTACTCTAGACCTGAGACAGATGAGGAATGCCGGGAGGAGAGTTTAATGCCAGCCTGGACTACACAGTGATTCCAGAGCCACAGTGTTAAAAGCCTGACTCAAAACAAAGGTCAACAAGTATTGACTTTTGCTAACAAGCTCAGAATTAACAGCTACCAGACAAAGCAGATAAAAACAAACAGCAAACAAAAAAACCCCACACCAGGGCTGGTAAGATGGCCTATCAGGTAAAGGCACCTGCTGCCATGCCTGTCTCTCTGACGTTGATTCCCAGAATACACAAGGTAGAAGTTGTCCTCTGGTGTTTATATGTACACCGTGACATGAACGCACATAAAAAAAGGTAAAAAGGCCAGGCATGGTGGCACAGGCCTTTAATCCCAGCACTTGGGAGGCAGAGGCAGGCAGATCTCTGTGTGAGTTCCAGGACAGCTGGGGCTATAAGGAGACCCTGTCTCAAAGACAAAAAAAAAAGGTAAAGAACTACAGTTTAAAAGAAAGAAAAAAAGGTTGGTAGTTTCCTTAAAACATAAATGCTACCACCAGATTAGAGCCCCAAACCCAGGAGTTAAATTCCCTTACAGCCCTAAGGTTGATAATTATCAAGATCCACTCTACCACCACTGAGACAAGGTCTTGCTGTGTAGAACAGGATAGCCTGGAACTCATTATATAGGCCAACCTGGTCTCAAGCCTCCTTAATGTTAAGGTAAGTAGCAGCCTTTGGCTTTATCAGAACACAAAAATGACTGGTTTCTCACATGGATCCTACATTACCACTGTACTTTGAGACTGAACTCTATGCCAGGTAAGAAGAGTTAAGATATGAAAAAATATAGACTTAAAGCGAAAAACAAGGTTTTTCATAGACATCTCAAAACTCAGAGCAATTCAGTTTCAGGTAAGGAATATTCTATGAGTGTAACTTAATCCAGTACTCTGCTACTGGACCTTCATCCAATACTAGCTAGGTATTATCTGAATTTGTACCTCGTTCCTTTTGACACCCCATTTTATTTTCCCATTGTGCAGTGTGACATTCTTTACTTTAAAATTATCATATCCTGGGGCTGGAGAAACAGCTCAGCTGTTAAGAACACTGGTTATTCTTGCCAAAGACCCGGGTTTGAATCCCAGCACCCACATAATAGCTAACAATTGTCCATAACTCCAGTCCCAGGGAATCCAACAGCCTCTTCTGGCCTCAGCAGGCATTGCACGACACAGGTGCACTTACCTACATGCAGGCAATATATAAAATATAAGTAATATAAGTAAACATAAAATATAATAATTAAAATTTTAAAAAATCATCATGTTCTTTTCCTCTACTTATGTTAAAATCATCCCTGCCATGTTCTGGTACAAGCAACAGTAGACTGAACCCTTTGAAACTGTGAGAAAAACAGGTTAGATATTTTATCACAGTGATTACAAAATCATTGATGCTGGGTGTGGTGTTGCATACCTTTAATCCCAGCACTCAGGAGGCAGAGGCGGCAGATCTCTGTGAGTTCCAGCCAGTGGTGGCAACAGACAGACCCTGCCTCAAAAAGACCAAAAAAGAAAAGCCAACAAAATAATGTTGAGGAGTTACAAAATGCAGCATAATACTTGCCTAGCATGCTCAAGGCCCTGGCTATCTACTTCCCTTTAAATTATCTTGTATTACCCTTCAGAGGAAGTCATTTTATATTACTTTAAAATTTTCAAGTCAGGAAACTGAAGTTGCACATCAATGATGAGGCCCTTAAGTCTAATCCCTATAACTAAACAGAAGGGTTTAAATTAAGAACCATTTTTTTTACCAAGTGTGGTTGCCAAGTTTGGAGACACATGCCTTTAATCCCAGCATGGGAAAGAGGCAGACAAGGCCAGCCTCATCTACCTAGTGATTTCCAGGCCACAGTCAGGGCTACATAGTGAGACTCTGCATTAAAAAACTAAAAACCAGAGCCGGGTGTGGTGGTGCACGCCTTTAATCTCAACACTTAGGAGGCAGATCTTTGTGAGTTCAAGGCCAGCCTGGTCTACATAGTGAGTTCCAGGACAGCCTGGGCTACAGGGAGACCCTGTCTCAAAAAGACAAAAACAAAAAACAAACAAACCCAAAACCACAGAAGTCATTCCATTGCACCTTTTAAGAATTGTGAACCAGGCTGGGAAATGTAGCTTGGTTGGTTAAATGCTTGCCTAGCACGAACCAAGCCCTCAATTTGATCCCCAGCACCTTATACAACTTGGTATTGTGGTACCAAGCTATAATTCTAGTACTTGGGAGGAAGAGGCAGGCAGATGAAAAGTACAAAGTCATTCTTAGCTACATAGAGAGTCTAAGCAATGAGGCTTAAAAAAAAAAAAACAAACCAAAGTAGTAAACAATAAAATTATAAACATTTTTCTTTTTGAAAAAGATTCCAGAATGTTTTGCTCACGAAATCTTAAAATTTGAGTAAGACAAAAAATTTTATTTAAGTACATAGGAAGAAAAAAAAAAAGTTCAGAAAGGCAAGAGAAACACATTAGCGAAGCTCTGAAATTGGTCCATTGAATCACCACCTTCCAAAATGCTATTTCAAATTAACCATTAACAACTTACTTTTGAACAATTACCAAAACAAATCAGCAAAGGACAAAAGTTATAGAAAGGGCTAAAGATTCTCTACCTAAAATATAGAGATCACAGAATTGCCTTAAAATACATTTTTATTTGTGTATCAAAGACTAAGGTTAACAGTTGATGTCAAAACACAAAAAAAAAATACTTGAAAAGCTATCGCTGATAATCACTGTTGGATTCAGTCTCCCTTGATTATTTTAGAGAGCATTTCTGATAAACTCCCAACTGGATCTTAAGCATGGTATGTCCAGATGACAAAATTACAGTTCCCTCCATTAGTCCTCAATGTCTTTCTTTTTTTTCTTTTTCTTCTTTTTCTCTGGACTCTGAAAATAAAATAACAAGAATGTTTTTAAAATTGCAGTAATTTTATAGTTATTTACTTTCCCTTAGTGCATAATCTCTTCAAAACAAATTTTTGACCAAAATCCAAAAAGACAGTGCCACATAGGGCCAGGCATGGTGGTGCACGCCTGTAATCCCAGCAGGGAGGCAGAGGCAGGCGGATCTCTGTGAGTTCAAGGCTGGTCTCCATAGAGAATCCAGGTCAGCTAGGGCTACAGGGAGACCCTGTCTCAAAAACAACAACAACAACAACAACAACAAAAAGACAGTGCCACTAAAGGAAGCTTTAAAAACAAACTGGGGGTATAGTTCAGTGAGAGTACTTACTTAGCATGCACAAGGCCCTGGGAGCCAATCCTCAGTACAGCAAACAAACCAAAAACAAAATTGATATTCTCTTCCTCCATCAACTAAACTCCTTTTTTTTTGGCTAAGAAACTAAATTTGATGAATGGCCTTTATAATGCAAGCAGGTATTTGTATTTTCCCATTACATTTTCCTTATCAAACACCTGTTTATTTCTGACTAAGAATAGCCATTAACTCCAGTGTCTAAGATCTGTTAAAAAGGTAACAAACTCAGTCAAATAAAAACAAAAAACACATACAGGAATTGCTGTGCTGGTGCATGGCTCTTCCTCAGAAAGTGGTTCTTCCTTAATGTGTTTCTTTTTATCCTTTTTCTTTTTCTTCTTTACAGATGTCTCCTCTTCTAATACAGTCTTTTCTTCTACTTCCTCCTCCACTTCTTCCTCCTCTACTTCAGCTGAGTAGGGGGGAAAAAGGCATGGTAATTAGCATTATATCACACTTCATTTCCTCCAAAACCCTATGTTTCTTTAGTCATTATGGTCAAACTATGCAGTGTTTATTATGATTATTTTATAATTACAAATGTTTTTTCAGGGTCCACTTATTGCAAATGCGATAAACTTGAAAAATGACCTAGAAGCTCAGAAAAGTAATTTTTTTCCATGATCAGCAGATAGGTGCAGAAACCAATACAAGACTGATTAGCTATAATTCTTTTTAAAGAATTATATTAGGGTTTAGAATTTCTGACTGGCATGGTGGTGCATGCCTATAATTTCAGTGGTCAGGAGGGTACATATATATAACTTGCTGGCTAATCAAGCTACATAATCAGAGAGCTCAATGATAGTCCCATGCAAATAAAAGAGGGTTTGTGTGGGGAGGTCTAGAGACATGGCTCAGCAGTTTCAAGAACACATACCACTCTTACAGAGGATCAGAGTTCTGTTCTCAGCACCCATGTCAGGGGGTTCACAACTCTCTGTAACTCCAGCTCCAAGGGATCCTATGGCCACTGCTGGACTCTGTGAGCACCTACTCTCACATGTGCACATACCCACATACATACATACATAACTAAAATTAAAATACATTCTTAAAAAACTAAGGTGGAACTGATGTTGATTCATGGCCTCTACAAATACACACATATACACTTTAGTGAGAGGAGAGACATGAAATAATGCACTGTAGAATATAGCAAATAATCAATGCCAAAGATAGAAATAAAGCAGTGAGGGAGGTATCAGAAGGGAAGCTATGCATAGACATCACAATACAAAGGCCAAAATGGGAGGGAAAATGATGCCAAGAAGAGAAACAAGAAAATGCAAAGAATGCAAGGATCTTATAAAGCATGTACTGGGGCAGATGCCTGGCAGGTTTAAGAAATAATAGGTCAATGTAGCTGGAATTGTTAAATGAGAAAAATCAATCTGGAGTCCATTGTTTTAAATACTAGAAATAGATTTAGGGATCTTTTTAATCTTTCAACTGTAAAATAGAAAAAAAGAAGATAACTTGGTCATATTTTCTCTACCAAGAAACCAATTATCACTCCTGTATTTTGTTTGGCCACTCTAGCAGACACTCAATAAACTCAGATGCAATTAAGTGGAGCACTTACCTATTACCAACTTCAGGAGAGAACATACTCCACTGCAAAGCACCTTTGAGAAATCCTCATAGTGAACAGCAGGCTACAAGGCTACTCACCTAGACTATCATGCAAACGCAGAACCTACTGCTACGTCAATCCTACATTCTTTCTTAACCTTGTATCTAAAATACCTTTTAAATCTAATCCCACAAATTTGTGTACATTTTTATCTAATTCTACACATTTAAAGACATTTATCTTACATTCCCCCCTGTGAAATCTAACTTAACAATATCCCAACTCATCTCAGAGAACATAATGGCATATTAAAACACCATCGGCTTTCAATGAATGCAATGGCAGGTATTTTTCCAAGATTTAGGAAGGAAGTCTGTAGCTTTTAAGGATCAAGACAATTAAGAGTATCATTATAAAAGAATAAATGAAATTTAAAAACTCAAATTAGGGCTGGGTATGGTAGTGCATGCCCTTAATACAACACTCAAGAGGCAAGGCAGAGGCAGGTTGATCTCTGTGAATTTGAAGCCAGCCTGGACTACATAGCAAGTTACATGACAGTCAACACTGTAGAGTGAGACCCTGCCACAAAAAAGCCCCAAAAAACAAACAAATTCAAACAACAGCCATCGAGATGGCTCAAGTGTCAAGCCTGAAGACCTGAGTTTGATCCCTGGGAGCCACACAGTGTAGAAAACTGACTTGTAAGTTTGTTCTCTGAACCTTGACATGTGCACAGTGACACATGTACCCACCCTGAACAAAACAAATAAAAAACGGACAAATTTTTTAAAAAAATTCAAACTAACCTTTAATTTTAATCTTGGCTTTTTTGGCTTTCTTTTCAGTAATTTCATCATCTTTATCTACCTCTTCTATTTTGCGTTTTTTAGAACATGTGGGAAGTGTGGAATCACCAGAGGGATCGTAAGTCTTCACTTCACTGAAAGAACCAAATAATTTTTGAGGAAAATGAATATAACTAACTAGAAAGTAAAATGGAATTGATTAAATTTTTATATCAGTGGGTAACCAAATAACCAAAAACCCTGAAATAAAATGATACAACCAAACTGTAGACAGAAGTCCTCACAAGACATTAAGGAGCATAGTAACAAAGGGGGATATACCACAAAGATTACCTAAACAACCAAGATATGGTCTGTTCTAATGTATCAGAAAATATTGAATGTTTAAAATATATAAAGGTACAAAATTCTAAAGCAAGCTACAAAATGTACTACCAAGAAGATTGTAGATGAACTCTTATAGGTTACAGATATTTAATAACAAAGCTCTGTACTTGTCAATTAAATATAACAGACTATAATAGAAAACGTTGAATTCATACATTTTATATTTTTTAAATATATACTCATTTTTTGGGTTTGAGACACAGGGTCTCCCTGTATGCCCCCCTAGCTGGCTTGGAATTCACAATGTAGACCACACTGGCCTCGACCTCAAGAGATCCACTTGGCTCTGCTCCCATGTGTTGGAATTAAAGGTGTGCATCACCACACAATGTAAACATATATATTATATACTTATAATTGAGTTTGCTGTTCATCTACTTATCACCTAAAGTTTCATTAAAATAATTCTCAATTAACAGGTAGTGCCTGTCTGCAATCCCAGAAACTGAGATGCTGATGCAGCAAAATGATAGAGTTCAGGCCAGCTAAGAGGACATACTAAGACCCTATCTGAAACAGACAAAACAATTTATAGTCTATAGAATTTATTAGGTTAAGGACCAGGAACATTTTTAAAGGATTTGTTTTTTTGAGACAGGGTCTCCTGTACCTTAGGTTGGCTTCCAACTTGCTATATAGCTTAAGATGTCTTTGAACCTCCAATCCTCCTCCCTCTATTTCTGAGTGGTTTACTGAAGCACCTTGACATAAGATTACCATAAAAGATGCACACCTCTATGTCAATTACTACAACCTCACAAACATCTCCCATTACCTCAGAGAGCGACCAAAGCACCTCTCTAATACACAAATCTTTTGTCAATCTGATAGCAAGGTCTCAATGCTACTTTATGCCTATGGACTACTTTCAAGTTTGTTTTGTGTCTTTGGATAGCCTCACTGTAGATTAACTCAAAACTTTTTAATGAATGGCATACTACAGAGGAAGTAAAATAACTAAGTTAAATATTATCTTAAGGGGCCAGTAAAATGGCTCAGTGCTGGTAAAATCATTTGTTGTTAAGCCTGACCAAGTCCCTGAATCCACATGGTGAAAGAAGATAACCAACCCCTACAAGTTATCCTTTGGCATGTGTGTGCCCTGGCTTGTGTGTCCACATGCATGTATACATGCTCCCTCAATAAATATTTTAAAAACTTGTCTATGATAAAAAACTAGAAGTGAATATGGAGAACTAAACGGCAAGGAAAACCTATAGATGTACACAAAAGATGTACAGGTAGCATGGTGATGATTATAGTTAAAATTGCTGAAAACAGATTCTAAGTGTTGTCAATACAAAAAATATGGAGGATGATCCAACTTGGTGGATCCATTTCACAATGTATGTGTTTGTCAAACTGTATCAACATGCTAAAAAAAGTTAAAAGGATTAGCAAACACTAAGGTTACAATAAAATTGTTGTAACATTTAAGTTAGCAAAAATGGTACTTTTTAAAATGTACTTTACCTTTTGTGTTCATACTTTTCTGCTTTTGCTAATGCCTTTCCTGTCCCACTTATTTTTCTTATCTAAGAAGAAAAACAAAAATTATTAGTATAATTATAAGTCAAAACCTACTTATAATAAATATATCTAGCATACTGGCCATAATTTTCCTTGCTACTTTGAGTAGTCATATTTCAACTGGCAAACATTCAACAGATCAACTCTTGGTAAACTGGGCATAATAAAATGTATCACAAAATTTATCAGGTGAAGTGATTATCCTCATTAACTTTTGACAGAAACACTTGCCACAGGTAAGGTGTGATTCTTACCCCTCTGTCCTCCAAGGTTCTCAATCTGGCCTCTAATTTGGCTCTGTTCTCAACTCCCATTGCAGAACTGGAATCCTCGCCAAAAGCATCATAACGAATAGCCAAAACGGTTTTGGCTGCTAGCATTCGGGAAATCTAAGAATGCAGAAAGTTGCAGAGAGTCACACTATCAAAATGTGCTCATAAGAAAACTATGGTAAATTACCGCATTACCATTTATTCTAAGCCTTTATTTCGTCTCCCCATTCCTTTCTTCCACTTGCCACTAAATGTGACAGCCTGAGTTCAATCCCCAGAAAACCCAGCTCCTGAAGACAGTCCTCTGTCTGCCACAGGCATGCCCCCTCTCCACCCTAAATGAATGTAATTGAAAGAAAATTTCTGGATGTGGAAGTGCCCTTGCCTGGTATGTGTGAGGCTTTTAAGTTCAATCTCCAACAGAAAAATGGAGGAGTAAATTTAAATATGTATGGGTCTTTTTGTGTATTAATCTGTTGTTCATTTAATCCTTCTTTTCTTTAAAAAATACTATTTTCATTTTATGTGTATGAGTATACTGTCTGCATGTGTTTAAGTGCACCGGTGTTGTGCAATGACCTCAGAGGTCAGAAAAAGGCATTGGATTTCCTAGGAATGGGAATTTGGATTTCCTAGGAATGGGAATTAAGGAAGGTTGTTAGCCACCAAGTGGGTGCTGGTAATAAAATCTGGCATCTTTGCAAGAGCAGCCACTGCTCTCAACCACTGAGCCATCGCTCTAGCACTAATCCTCCCTTTCTCCCTCCTTTCTTTTGCGACAGGGTCTTACTTCATGGCCCTAGCTGGCCTGGAACTCACTATGTAGACCAGGCTGGCCTTGTATTCCCAGATATCCACCAGACCCCAACTCCCAAATGCTGGTATTAAAGGCATGCATCATCACGGCCAGCTAAATCCCTTATTTCTCTTAGCTATGAGTTTTATAAAATTTCAGTTTAAATCCAGGCGTGGTGGCGCACACCTGTAGTCCCAGCACTTGGGAGGCAGAGGCAGGCAGATCTCTGTAAGTTCAAGGCCAGCCTGGTCTACATAGTGAGTTCCAGGACAGCTGGGGCTACAGGCCCTGCTTCAAAAAAAGACAAAAAAAAAAAAAAAAAATTCAGTTTAATCCTACTTGATTACCCAATCTACAGAAAGCACTTATCTAATTAAGCCCAAGTCTCAACATCTGTGAAATAGAAACATATATAAAAATTCAATTAAGCTCTGTCAAAAAGTTGAGTGCAACGTATATGCTTGATGTATCTAATTCTTTAAAAATATTGCTGAATGGTTTTTTTTTTTTTTTTTTTGCCAAATAATGATTTTGCCTATAATGATTTCTTCTCATCTTTTAGTTTATAAAAATGCTTTTTTTTATTTTTGGTCTTTTTGAGACAGGGTCTCCCTATAGCCCCAACTGTCCTGGAACTCACTATGTAGACCAGGCTAGCCTTGAACTTACAGACATCCGCCTGCCTCTGCCTCCCGAGTGCTGGAATTAAAGGCGTGCACTACCATGCCTGGCTAAAATGCTTTCTATTTAAACAGTGTAGCACACTAAAAGAGACACTGACACATTTTAATGTACACTACAGTTGCAGAGGAAAAATGAGCTTGGAAAAAAAAATTTTAAGCCCAATCGCGGAAAAACTGTAACTCACCTTTCCTTTGTGTTTGGGACTTGTCTGGCCTACAAGTGAAGCATGATAAATGAGACCATATTTAGGGGTATCCCGTCTAGATTTGAGGGCCCTGAAAAGCGCTTTTTCTGCTCCAAGAATCTGAACTGTAGAAGCTGCATGCTTGGCCAAATTCAAAAGAGAACCTACAAAAGAAGAGTCGTTAGAACGAAACAAAATACAACTTCCAAGTATTGATGATTCTACAGTGGTATACTAAATTCTCTGAGAATCATAGTACTTTCCCATTCCTAGTGTAAGCAGTTATGATGAACATGAAACTAAGCTTGCTAGGTTCAATGCTGCATGTGCTTGAAATGGTATTCTACATTCATCAGCATGTTCACAAGAGTGATATGAATATAAAAATGTCTCATATACATCAACTCATCCCACTTTCTAAGATTCTGAACATCAAATACGCTATTGCTTTAGATGGCAGTAGAGATGACAAACTTACATTTCACCCTTATTCTAGATAATGATTAAGAAATACGGCTGTAAGTACAGCAGGCTGCTTCACTGGATTTGCTGAACAGAATATTTTATTACATATACACAACATTCATGGTAGGATTAAACCACTAAAAGAAACCTGTTTAAAGAACAAATTCAAATTTCTGTTCATCTATGTATCTCTTACTGCTCTAAGTTTAGCTATGCCTATGAAACTGGGTAAACATAATTAAACAGCCCACAGGATTAGGACAGCCAAGGACAGCTGAATGGAGTATCTATCTGATGTTTTACAATGCAGTTAAAAGTTTTTCCAGTGTGATGAGTTTTAACAATGTCTCCAAGAATAATGCTATTTTAAAAATTATTCCTATCTTGGTCTGACGAGTTTTTCTGGTGTTGAGTGCTGAATATTACTTAAAAATTAAGAAAATGTGAACTAATTGTATCCTTCTGACCATGGACCACAAGTGTCTCAGAAGAGGTAGTGACTAAAGAAGCCTTCATTATTCAAAAAAGAAATCAGGCAAAGTAATAAAATCATCATTGAACACATGGCCCTTAGTCTTTAATAAGCATGATAAAAAATTAAAGTCAACTTCAAATAATATTCATGTTTATAAACGACATTAAAACTGTCACCTGCATGAGCAATGAGTCGTGCTCCAACTAATTCCCCAACCATGACTGTAACGTTAGGTGCAATGGCCATCATTCGATTTTGCAGATATTCATACAGCTGAGTTCTATACTCAGAGATTTCAATCACCTAATACAAGGAATAAAATGAGGAAGTCAAAAACAGCTTATAAAAATTATAAAATTTATTTCTAAAATATTGGATTCAAATAGTGAGTCACTGTCCACACTGATATAGTTCATGCCACTGGGGCATGAAGATTGCTTGAACTAGGAATTTGAGGCCAGCCTAGGAAACTTGATAACTCACCCCTGAAGTAGTTGCTTGACACTATCCTTAAAAAAAATTTGGAGGGAAATCATAGACTATACACATAAAAGAGAGGGGGCCTTGGAGAGATGGCTCAGTGTTTAAGAGCACTTCATGCTCTTACAGAGGGACCCAGGTTTGGTCCCAGTACCCACATGACAGCTAACAACTGTCATTAATTCCACTAGTTCCATGAATCCAACTCCCTCTTCTGGCCTCTAAGGCACACATGTAGTACACTTATATACATGCAGGTAAAATACTCATACAGAGAAAAATATTAAACCCTATAATACTCAGAATTAAGTTCTTCAATCTGTACATTTCGTGCACTTATGATTCACAAAGTAATGCTAATATGAAAACCACTTCATTCTAGTACATCTCTCTCCTCTCAAAGTACACACAAAAAGATGGCATCAGATGAGGTAGTGACTGAACACCTTCATACTGCTGTCAGGTGAACAAAGAATGTAAAGATCATCATTGCCATCAGAACATAATTACAGACCTAAAAAAGACCTCAACTCTGTGGGTACAATGTACCTGGGTACAGAGATGGAGAATGTTGCAAATATCCTCTTCAGAAACCTCTGTTCCCATAGATATCTCTGCGGCTGCCTTTACTTCTGCTTCTACTTCCTCTGGCAGCAACTCAGAAAGCGTGGCAGAGGCATAGTTCTTCCTATCGCCTATGGAATGTTTGCAGAGGATGAAGTGGAAAAACAAGACAGTATCTTACAGAAAAGTTAATAATAGGACTAAGATAATCTCACAGAAAAAAATTCAATTTTAATGTTGTGTATGAGTATTTTTTTATTTATTTATTTTTTGGTCTTTTTAAGTCAGCATCTCTCTGTATTTCCAACTGGCCTGGAACACACAGACATGCACCTGCCTCTGCCTCACAAGTGCTGGGATTAAAGGCATGCGTCATCACATCCGGCTTGTATGAGCATTTTGTCTGCATGTATTTAAGTCTGAAGGATGAGAAAGACTGGATTCCCTTGGTTGTAAGCTCCCACATGAGTGCTGGGAGTAGAATCCAGTTTATTCCTCTCTAACAACAGCCAGTTCTCTTAACTGCTGAGCTATTGTACCAGCCCTCTTAGATAACTTTAGTGAAGCTAGAGTAATCCTCAGAATACTATAATAATCCAATAACTCACACTCATTAATAATCCTCAGGACTTTCTGATAGGATTACTAATATAATTAATCTAGCATGAACTATAATATAGCTTGGTTTTGAGTTTTGTTTTTTGTTTTGAGGTAGGGTTTCACGATATAGCCCAGGCTGGCCTGGAACTTATAGAGATCTGCCTGCCTCTACCTCCCAAGATCTGGGATTAAAGACATGCAGCACCTGGCAATATTCCAGGCAATATAACTGTTATTAATGTTAATACAGCATTGGAGCCCTTCCCATGTCTACAATTCCTATAATCTAGTCTATAAGTCTATAATCGATTATTTGGAAAGTCAAACAATCACAAAGTCATTTTAAGAAAAATCAAAATGGATTATGTTTGTTGTGCAGGCCATCAAAGATTGAAGGTAAAATTCATTTAGTTTTTGAAATCTAACATATTAAATGGTTATTACCCAAACATGCTTTTAAAAACTTTAGAAGTGCTAAAAAAATACCAATAATAATTATTTGGAGACATAATCAAATTCATTTATTTCAATGCCTTAAATGATTAATTACTCACCAACTTTCTGTAAACATTTACAGTATGTCAAATTATCCGAAATAATTTTTCCTAATTCAGGAAAGTGCCAGCCATACCATTCTCTACATCGCATAATGTAGTTGTTCAGTTCTTTATCCAAGTCATCCAACAAGGCTACCGTAAATGAAAAAAACAGAACTTATAGATTTGTAACAGTTAATATGACAAAAATTACCTTTAAGCATTTTTAAAAGATATTTTATTATTTTTATTTTTGCCTGCATCTATGTGAGTGCATCCATGTCATGCAATGCCATGGAGGTCAGAAGAGGGTGTCGGATTCCCCTGGAATTGGAGTTAAGGACAGTTCATAGCCGCCATGTGGGTGCTGGGAATCGACTGGGGTCCTCTGCAAGAGCAGTCAGCTCTTAACCACTGGGCCATCTCTCCAGCCCCACCTTTAAGCATTTTTAAGTATACAAATCAGCGGTGTAAGTACATTCTTGCCCTATAGCCATTAAGAACATCTATTTCCAAAATACACTATCCCAAAACTAAAAATCCTGTACCTATTAAAAAACAATTCCTAGGGACCAGCCAAATGGACTCTTATTGCAAAAGTCTGATGTCCTGAGTTTGATCCCAAAATCAAGGTGGAAAGAAAGAAACCAATTTCCAGAAGCTGTCCTCTGACACAGACACAGAATGAATGTAATAAAGATTTTTAGTTGGGCAGGAGAGATGGTTCAGCAGTTAAAAGCACTGGTTATTCTTGCAGAAGAGCCGGTTCGAATCCCAGCACCTACAAGACAGCTAACAACTGTCCATAACTCCAGTTCCAGGGGATCCAATGCCTTCATCTGTCCTCTGCAGGGACTGCATGATACACGGTGCACTTACTTATACGCAGGCAATACATACACACAAAAAATAAAAATATTTTTAAAAAATTTTAAATTAACTCCAAGTAACTTAAAAAAAGACAAAATCCATTTTTGGCTACTGTGAACAATGCTTCTGGGAACATAAATGAGGTAGTGTGAGGGGCAGAGTTCAATCATGATTGCAATTCTTTTGATACACATCTAGTAATTTGTTGGTCAAAGCAATTTTTTATAATTGAAAATGCTACAACATGATGAAAATTGCTCAGTGCAATCATCCATTCACTGAAGTTGTTTGGTTCATCTTTCTTGTCAGAGATAAGGGAAAACCCAGGAATAAACAGCTCAGTCTTTGCCATGTACTTACAAATTGCCTGAACAATCATTGTGTCCACTTTATCAGCGCTGAATTTCAATCTATATCGAGACAGGCTAGGGAAATGGAGGTAAATTAATATGACAGCATCTAGGAAAAGCATTTTAATCAACACCCCCATCTTTATACCCCCCCATGCGGTGTTTGAATGTGGATGGGTGCATGTGAAAGTGGAGGCCAGAGACCAACTTTGTTTGTTGAGGCAAGGTTGCTTTACTATACAGGAGTTTGCTGAGTAGGGCTAAGCTGGCCAGGCAATGAGGGCCAAGGATCAGTCTGTCTCTACCACTACCCCCACAAGATGGGTTTGGACGTGCCAGTAATGTCCAGAAAGGCTTTCTTGTATGGGTTTTGTAGAGTGAACCCAAATCTTCATGTTTGTGTGACAAATATCTCATCAACTGAGCTATCCCCCGAAATCCTCTTTTGGGTTTTGAAATGGAGTTTTGCTATTTGGCTCAGGCTGGCCTGAAACTCAATTTTCTTGTCATAGCCTCAAAGCGCTAGGATTACAGTGACATACTATCATGCTCAGCGCACTAAATTAACTAATTTGTAAAAGCTGGGTGTGGTGAGGCTGGCCTTTAATCCTAGCACCAGGTACATGCTCAAACTATAAAGAGTACATAGCCGGGCTGGAGAGATGGCTCAGCAGTTAAGAACACTGGCTGTTCCTGCAGGGGACCTGGATTCCTTTCCCTGCACCCACATGACAGCTAGCAACTGTCCGGAACTCCAGGTCCAGGGAATCCAACAGCCTCTTCTGTTCTTCACGGGCATTGCATGATGTTGACACGGGTGCACTCACCTACAAGCAGGCAACACACGCATACACATAAAATAAAAATAAATATTTAAAAAAAAAACAAAAAACAAAAAGAGTATGTAGGAAGCCCACCATGGTGGCACACAACTTTAATCCCAACACTAGGGAGACAGGCAGGTGGATCTCTGAGATGAAGGCCAGCCTGATCTACAGTTCTAGGTCAGCTGAAGCTTCAGGGAGAGTACATAGCCGAAAAGGGGCAAAAAGAGTACACAGAAGAAAAGACATGAAAATAAAGGACCCAAAACTAAAAGGATAAGGAATTCTTAGGATGAAAATTTAAAAAAAATTTTTCATTATTTTTATGTATAGTGCTTGCACATCTTATTAGTGCACCCATGTCATGCAGTGTCCAAGGAAGTCAGACGAGGGTGTTGGATTCCCTGGAACTGGAGTTACAGACTGTTTTGTGGGTGCTGGGAACCAAATCCAGGTCCCCTGCAAGAGCAGTCTGTGCTCTTAACCACTGACATCTCTCTAGCCCCTAAGATGAGGTTTTTATGAGCACAGGCAAGCTGGGGTATGGTAGTATATGCCTTTAATCCCAAGGGTAAGCAGATGTCTGTGAGTTCCATGCTGGCAAGTTACAGAGAAAGATTGCGTTTTTGAAAAAAGAACACACGGGGCTGGAAAGATGGGTCAGCAGTTAAGAGCAATAGCTGCTCTTCCAGAGAACCTGGATTCGGTTCCTAACACATTAGCAAATCCAGGCCAGTGAGACCTTGTCTCAAAAAGACCAAAAAAAAAAAAGAATGCATGCAACAAAGCCAGATAGTGTGGGTTCATATAATGGCTATCATATTTTGAGGATTTAATATACACCTTAAAAAAAAAAAAAAAAAAAAAAGACATCTGGTTTCTTTTTAAAAAAATATTTTATTATGTGTATGAGTGTGTTGCCTGCGTTTTTGTGAGTGCACCTGTGTCATGCAATGCCTCGGAGGTCAGAAGAGAGCTTCAGATTCCCCTAGAACTGGAGTTAAGGGCGGTTCGTAGCTGCCATGTGGGTGCTGGGAATCAAATCCGAGTCCTCTGCAAGTACAGTCAATGCTCTTGAGCCATCTCCCTAGCCCCTAAATATATACTTTTTAACATTTATTTTTTAGAATACTACAATGTTAAGGGCCTATACAAAAAGAGCAGACTTAGTTTTTCTCTTACCTGTGGGCTAATCCAAGACACATGGCTGCCATTTCTCGTGGTTCTACCCCAGGAATCAAGCCATCCATTTGCGATCGGATGCCTCTCATAAGTTCATTTACAACAGGACTATGGATGCAACTGAGATTCAACTTCTCCTACAAGAACATTTACATTCAATTATTTTAAAAAAGTTTTCCTGAGAAAGCCTTTGTTTTGGGCTATTATTTTTATTTTATGTGTATGAGTGTATTGTCTGCATGTGTGTAAGTGCACCTGTGTCTGAAATGCTTGTGGAGGTCAGAAGAGGGAATCAAATTCCCCTGGAACTGGAGTTACAAATGGTTGTTAGCCACCATGTGGATGCTGGGAATCAAATCCAGGTCTGCTCCAAAAGCAACCAGTGCTCTTAACTGCTGAGCTGTATTTCCAATCCCCTTGTTTTGTTTTGTTTCTTTAAAGACAGGTCTCGCTATGTAGCCCTTGCTGGCCTGGACCTCAGAGATCTGCCTGCCTCTGCCCCTAGAGGGCTGAGATTAAAGGCCTGCACCACCAGGCCCAGCTCTCTTTTTCCTTTTTTGAGGCAGTATTGGAGGATAGTTTGGAACACACTATGTAAGAACAGGCTGGCATCAATCTCACAATATACTCTGGCCTCATTCTCCTGCATGATGGGAGTTATACAAGCCACAACACCTGATTTCCAATATAATAAAATAGTATTGGTTTAAGGATATACAGTCTAAGCTTGACAAAGTCTACATTAACAGTATGTAAGCCAAGCTGGAAAACTTAAGGTTATCAAGGTGGGGGGAGGGGGGGTAAGATTATCCTTCTAGCTTGGCTAGAGGAGTCTAAAGCTGTAAAATGTTAATGTGGCTACAGTTTGCTGTTCCTATTTTTTGAACTGAGAAAAATTACTGCTAATTTATTTAACTTGAAGATTTCTATGTGCTTGTGTGAGTTTAAGTGTACCATGTCTGTGCTTGTGCTGAGAAGCCAAAAAGTCATTGGAAGTAACAAGTGATTGTAAGCTACCTGATGCTGGTGCTGGTAACCAAGTCCAAGTCCTCTGATAAGAGCAATAAACAATCTTAACTACTGAGCCTTCTCTCCATATGTAAAGGTATTACATATGGCATTTTAGTAAAAAATTAAAGTAGAAAGTTTTCAGCTTCAGGTCTTTTCCCTACAGCTAATTATTTGTGTTCCTCAAATATCTTCTTTATCACACATATTAATGTATTGTATAAACAAAAATATATTAAGTATTGTACTTAATCTGGATCTTGTGACACCCACTTTAATTCTAGCACTTGAAAGAATAAGGCACAAAGATTTCAAGTTCAAGGCAAGTCTAGGGTACATAATAAGATCTTGCCTCAAAACCCAAACTGAACTGTATTTAAGTTTTAAATCTTCATATATTCCACAGACTAAACATTTTTTCTTGTGCAGTATATTCAGCAACTACTTCATAAAGACCTACATAGCTTTAGATCATCTCGTGTAAATAATTACAGGAACGCACTTGTCCTGGCTTCACTGAATTTTTTTCCCTCTTATATTTATACCAGCTACTAAAAACATCATGGGGCTAGAGAGATAGCTCAGCTGTTAAAAATGCTTGCTGTTCTTCCAGAGGACCCAAGTTCAATTCCCAGCATCCATGTCAGGTGACTCACAACTAAGTGCCTATAACCGCAGGCCCAAGAGGATCCAATGACTCTTCTGGCCTTACAAGCAGTCACACGTAAAAATTATGTCAGGTTTATACATTAAATGTTGACAGACTGTGAGTAGTAGAGTTAGAGCATACTACTGTTTTTTTGGTTCATTTTAATTTTCTATAGGAAATACTTGTGTTTGTTTCTGCTAGTTCCAGTAAAACTTCATGTTGGCTAAAACAAAAAGATCAAATATAAGAACTAACAACAGAGATTAGACTTTGTAGTTAGAATGCTATACAGGAGATCTGACTAGAGGGCATGGAAGAATCATGACTCGTTCTCTAAACCATATCCTGTGCCACAACTTTACCTTGATGACCCCTCCCAGTTTAGCATCAGCTACAGCCAGAGGTTCGTGGGCTTCCTTTACTATTTTCTTCAGAACTTTCTTCAGTTGCTTATTGATTTTGCCCTCCATCAGAGCTGTGAATGCTTTTCAAGAAGAGAAAAAAGTTAGTAATTGTGAGACTATCTTATTTAAATTTAAAGGCAAATAAAAGACTTCCTTTCAAAAACCCAAATTTAATGTCTCTTCTGAAACAAAAATGATCAATGGAAATTTTTAAAAAATATTTTATTCAGCTGGGCGTGGGGCTCAGGCCTTTAATCCCAAAAGTTGGGAGGCAGACCTGGTCTACATAGTGAGTTCCAGGCCAGCTGGGGCTACAGGGAGATCCTGTCTCAAAAAAAAACCCTATATACATACATATATATATATATATATAATTTATGTATATGAGTGTATTGCCTGCATGTAGATAGGTGCACCCATGTCATACAATGCCTGAAGAGGTCAGACGAGAGAGTCAGATCCCCTGGAACTGGAGTTACAGATGGTTGTTAGCTGCACTGTGGGTGCTGGGATTCGAATCTGGGTCCTTTACAAGACCAGTCAGTGCTCTTAACTGCTGAGCCATCTCTCTAGTCCATGTTTTAGAAAAACCTTGCATAAACCAGCAAACAGTATAGTCATTTTGGAGGCTCTGCCCTATGTAAAAGCATGAATAGAAGGAGGCCTTATCTTTGCTAATCCACAGTACAGATCATAATCAGGCTTACAAGCCATTGCTGAAAACTTACTACTTTAGAAGCCCAAATTTACTTTCTTTTCTAGCAAATTCTAAATCTGCTATTGTATAACTCTTACAGTCCTTCAACTATACGTTCATCTTCCAAGCCTACATGGACTAATACCACTTCCAACATTTGACTGAAGTCAAATATGCCTGACAGGAAGATCTGCCAGAATCTGAGACCAGGCAGTTTGCATTATCAGTCAGGTACTTGATCCTCCTTCCCAACCTCACTTGTATCCATCTGAATGACTTGTTCATTTCACAAGTCATCTGAGAAAAGTAGAGGTGAGGACAAAAGACATAGGATCAATGAATAGTTTGTGCAGGGGTATATATACTTATGACTGCTGGGATTCAAGTTCCTTTATTTTTATTTTGTACATACATCTCTATGTAGCCCAGGCTGGCCCCTCAAACTTGTGCTCTTCCTGCCTTAGCCTTCCAAGTGCTGGGATCTAGGAGTGTAACCATACCTGGCTGTTACATTCTTCTCTCAAATACTACAGACATTGATTCCTTATAATCTACTATCAAAAGTCTCCTTCCTGGGGTTGGGGAGATGGCTCAGTGCTTAAGACCATTGGCTGCTCTTGCAGGGGACCCAGGTCAGATTCTCAGCACCTACATGTTGGCTAATAGTTCTTGAATCTAATTCTAAGGGATCTAGTACCCTCTTCTGGCCTCCATGGGCACTACAGGAACATATCTGCAGGCACAACATTCATACAGATAACATAAAAATAAATTCTTAAGAAAAAAAAAACTGTAATCCTCTAAAAAAAAAAAGAAAGAAAGAAAGAAAGAAAGAAAGAAAGAAAGAAAGAAAGAAATTGCAATCCTCTTAAAAAAAAAAATTTTTTTTTTCAGCCCTTTTTTTAAACATTGGGTGTAGTGGCATACACCTTTAATCCCAGCACTTGGGAGGCAGAGACAGGCTATGTGAGATGGAGGCCAGCCTGCTCTCCATAGTGAGTTTCAGCTAGACCTACAGGGAGACCCTGTCTCAAAAAGACCAAAAAAAAAAAAAAAAAAAAAAAAAAATTACCATTTGTTAAAAAAACTTAAATCTTACTTCATTTTCTAGTTTTAAAATTTCTGTATCTTTAACCTAGCATTATAGCCTTTCCCTCAAAAATTTCTTCTAAGTATAAATCTCTTAACTCTAGATTCCATTCTAGACTATCATTTACAAACTTATTTTTTATTTAAAAACGTTGTTGTTTATATAAAGCAAGAAGTAACATCAACAAAAACAGGACCAGCAAGATGGCTCAGTAGGAGGACTGAGGATCGAAGTTTGATCCTCAGGATTTACATGGTAGAAAGAATCATCTTTCACTGGTGGTCCTCTGACCTCCATACAAGTATGGTGGCATCCCCATATCTGGACACATGCACACACACACACACACACACACACACAATAAAATGTTAAAGGAATAAAAAATCTCTATTAAATGTTATATATGAACCTCCAATACAGACTATCAGAATCACACCCATATGGGGCTCTAAAGCTACAAAATTTAAAATGTATACTATGACATCTACAATTGTTCAGATTTTGCTCTACATCAAAACTGCCTTTTCAGCTGGGTGTGGTGGCGCACGCCTGTAGTCTCAGCACTTGGGAGGCAGAGGCAGGCGGATCTCTGAGTTCAAGGCCAGCCTGGTCTACATAGTGAGTTTCAGGACAGCTGGAGCTACAGGGAGACCCTGCTTCAAAAAGACAAAAACCAAAAAAAAAAACCCACCTGCCTTTTCAGCTGGGTGTGGTGGCTCACGCCTTTAATCCCAGCACTTGGAAGGCAGAGACAGGATCTCTGTGAGTTCCAGGCTAGCTGCAGTTACAGGGAGACAGACACTGTTACAAAAAGATATCCCCCACTCGCCCCCACCAAAAAAACAACTGCCTTTACAACCAGATCTCTAAGAGATCAAGGCCAGCTGGGTCTACATAGCTACTTCCTGGCCAGCTGAGGCTACAGGGAGACCCTGTCTTAAACACATGCACGCATGTGTATGCACACACAAATCTGCCTTAGGACCAGAGAGATGGCTTAGCACATACCTGGGGACCTGAGTTTGATCCCTGGAATCCACATAAAAGTGAAAGGAAGGCACAACTCTACAAAATTCTTCTCTGACCTCAATATACAGGCCTATACACCTACTGCCTTATAGGGTATGGGATGTAGCCCAATTTGTATGAGTGCTTGTGGGTCTGGTCTTCAGCATTGATAAAAGTACGGTAGCACAGGCCTGCTAGCACTTAGAAATTCAAAATCATCCTCAGTTACATACTGAGTTCAAGGCCAGCCTGGGGTACACCCCCTGTATCAAACAAAACAAACTGTCTTAGACAATAGAAAGCTAGTTATAGGAAAAGCTTTATTCATTTTTCTGGTAAGAACAGATAGAAAGAGACACTGTAGAGGTTTCTATGACAGAATTCCTGACATGACTTGCTAATTTCCCTCATTTCCAAAACTATTTATTAAAAACCTTCTATGGCCAATTGCTGTGCTGCAAACTAAGATTTTGACAGTGAAAAATAGTGTCTGTCTCATGGAGGTTTAACTGTGGAAGACTATAAAGAAATTTGGCAGGTAAATTTAGATAACTCTTCAAATCTCAAGCTTTAACATTTGTGGCATAAAGGCCTGATGGTGGTAGCACGTCTGCAAATCCTAGCACTCAAGAGCACAAGACAAGAGGATCACAAGTTTGAGGCCAGACTTGGCTACAAAGAAAGACCCTGTCTTTAAAATGAAAAAACAAAAAAAACCAAAAAAAACCACACCAGAAAACAGGGCCGGTGACCTGAGTTCAATCACCAGGATCCACATGGAAGGAGATTTTTGAAAGCTGTCCTCTGACCACTATATGTGTGCCATGGTTCATATCCACACATGTATACACACAAAGAAAATAAATATATAATTAATTTTAAAAAATCAGCTGGTCATGGCTGTGTATACCTTTAACCTAGCACTAGGGAGGCAGAGGCAAATGGATCTCTATGAGTTTGATGCCAGCTTGGTTTATATGAGTTCCAAGTCAGCCAGAGCTACTATGTCTTAAAAACAACAAAACAGGGGCTGTAGAGATGGCTCAGAGGTTAAGAACATTGGCTGTTCTTGCAGAAAACCCGGGTTCAAATCCCAGCACCCACATGGCAGCTAACAACTGTCTATAACTCCAGTTCCAGGGGATCTGACAGCCTTTTCTATCCTCTGAGGGCATTGCTTGACACGGGTGCACTTACCTACATACAGGATATACACTCATACACTTAAAAAAACAAAACAAGCTGGGCATGGTGGCGCATGCCTTTAATTCCAGCACTTGGGAGGCAGAGGCAGGCAGATCTCTGTGAGTTCAAGGCCAGCCTGGTTTACACAGAGTTCCAGGTCGACTGGGACTACAGGGAGACCGTGTCTCAAAAAGACCGGAACACACACACACACACACACACCAACACAAACCTCACAAAACAAATCTTAAGAGTATCATCACTATAGCTTTGTTTTGCAGATGTAGGATGCATGAATTACTGTACTGATAAAGAAGTTTCAGAAATATTTATTTTTTAAAAAATAAAGGAACTAAGGGCTAAAGATGGCTCAATGCTGGGGGGCTGAAGATGGCATACTGTTCTTACAGAGAAGTGAGTTTGATTCCCATACCCATGTTGGGCAGCTCAAAACAGCCAGTTAACTCCAGCTCCAGGGGATCTGAGGCCCTGTCCTCCGAGGGCACCTATGTACATATGCCTTCCTCAATCTTAAGGAAAAAAAAAGGAACTGGCTTCATTGCTGGGTCCTCCCTTAGCCTATCTTTCCACAAAGGTAGGTAACCATTAATATCCCAGCATATTTTGATAGATTCCCAATTTTCAACACAAAAACTATCTTTCCCCTTGCCAGGTATGGTGGTGTGCACACCTTTAACCCCAGCACTCAGGAGGCAGAAGCAGGAAGATCACTCTGAGATTGAGACCAGCCTGGTCATTAGAGTTCTACCATAGCTAGGGCTACAGGGAGACCCTGTCTCAGAAATTAAAGTCATATTCTCATTATAGTCTTTCATTTTCAAATTTTATCAACTAGCTGACTGATTAGTGACACAGATCATAAATAATTTCATCAGCCTCCCATTTTTCTCTAACTCTAAAACCTCCATTTACTTATGTTCAATTTTTAATAATACTGATATGCTTTTCTGAATTAAAAAATATACACCCTGGAGGGCTTTATTATTACTTATTTCAGGTGGTGATTCTCAACTTCACCTTTGTATTAACATCAATACAGAGCTGGGTACTTGGCCACATTACCTTGGTCCCTTGTAGAACAGCTTTTACTGAATTGTGCTTCAGCATTAGGCTGTTGGTTTCCACAGGGAGATCAATTTAACCACTTGTCACCTCTCATCACATGGGGGAAACAAGCCCTATGGTGAAAAAAGCTAACTCAATGTTGTCTCAGTGGTAGTGACGAATTTGAGTCATCTCTTAAATTCAGTTCCATTAAGAATGCATCATTGACAACATTGAATAAGATTAACTCAGTCAACTGAAGAAAACAACCTTTTAATAAGGAAAACAAAATACTAATTTTAAAAAGAAAGCCTCTAGACTTTTACTTTACCTGCTAATGCTTCTGCTGTATCCTGAAATTTCTCAAAATGTTTTAGTTTTACTCTAGAATTTAAAAAGAAGAGAACAAATGTTAAGGGCACACTGATTCTGCAAACAAACTTAAAGGCTAAGTGTGGTACCACATGCCTGTAATTCTAGCTACTGAGGCCAAAGCAAGAGGACTGATCACAAGTTCAAGGCCAACCTAGCAACTGAGAACTTGTTTCAATGACAAAAAAAGAGCTGGGAGTTTAGCTCAGTATCAGCACAATTCCTAGCATATGCAAGGACTAGGGTTCTATCCTTAGCACCACCACAAAAACAACTACACACAAAAACACAACAAAACCACCTCACTTGTTCCTGAGAATGCAGCTGCAAGGCCTGAATTCTTTTTCATAAGACGACCAGTTTTTCCAAACGTTGGACAAGTAACATTTGATTGGTACAAAGAAATTTGTGGGTTTTAAGAGAAACCAAGGCCAACAGTAAAGATGCTGAAGTAGCTTCAACATAGCCTTGTTGCTGAAAGTCAGACAAAGATGGCTTTTGCTGTATAGCACAGAACTGACACAAAAAAGCTGAGTCCTTTAGGGTGGGAATATCATGACATTCAGTTGTCCATATGGTACAAATGCCATTAAAAATAGCTTGGGGCGGGGGCTGGAGAGATGGCTCCGTGGTTAAGAACACTGACTGCTCTTGCAGAGGACCCGGGTTCAATTCCCAGCACCCACATGGCAGCTACGAACCATCCTTAACTCCAGTTCCAAGGGAATCCGACGCCCTAAAGGAGGCTGAGTAGGGGGATTGTGAGTTTGAGGCATGTCTGGGATACATAGCAAGATTCTTTTTTTAAAAAGGAAAAGGTGGAGCTAGAGAGATGACTCAAAGGTTAAGGGCACTTCTGTTCTTGCGGAGGACCCAAGTTTGATTCCCAGCACTCACATGGCAGCTAACAACTATCTGCAACTCCAGTCCCAGGGGATCCGACAGCCTCTTCTGACCTCCGCAGGCATTGCACAACACGAGCGCACTTACCTACACGCAGGCAATACACTCATACATATAAAATAAAAATAATAAATAAAATTAAAAAGAAAAAAGAAAAAAAAAAGCTTGTGGGAATTGGAGAGATGGCTCAGTGGTTAAGAGCACTGGCTGCTCCCACAAAGGACTAGGATTCGAATCCCAGAACCCATATGGTGGCTAACCACTGTTTGTCTAACTCCAGTTTCAGGGGATCCAACACCCTTTTCTGACCTCTAAGGGCATAGCATGTATGTGGTACACTTACAAACTGCAGGCAAAACACATAAAATCAAAAAAGGAGCTTAATGGCAGACTTTGTCTTTTGTTATCTCCTACACTTATGTGTACAGCAACATTTTATATTTTGGGGAAAAATGTGTATTAGTAAATTCATTGTTGTCTCAGCGGTAGTGACGAATTTTTTTTAAATCACTTAAGATTCAGTTCCAAAAGGAATACATCATTGACAACAATGAATAAATCAGATTAACTCAGCAAAGAATGTAACCTTTACAGGGGGAAAGTCTTACACACACCTAAAGCAATATTAGCTAAAGCAGTTTCTTATCTGGCAAAGGAAGTATTGGTGATCCCTCAAATACATACTTAAATATACAGTTGTAAGAAAAAAAGAAGTAATTGCTTCTTATTCTGTCCTACCCTAACCCCATTTCTTGTCAGAGGACCTTGAGGGGGTCTGGTATACTTTGACTTACTTTCTGGCTATTTTATTACACCAGAGGGAGATACAAAGGAGATGAATATACTACAGAATAAGTTAGAAAACATTTTAATATCAACTCAGAAAACCTAGATGTTCCCTGTGCTTTGCACAACTACTACTTTTAATAGAAATTTACACTTAATTAATAAACTGTGCCTTCAAGTACCCCATAAAACATCAATCTTAGGGTAATGTCCACTGTAGTCTCCAATACATACAAATTGAGCTAAGATGGTCTATGCTCCAATTGAAACACTCACAACTAAATTCACACTAACAGTATTATTCATAAAGTAGATCTCAAAACAAGAAACTGAAAATATAAAAATGGGGGAGGGACAACAAACTACTATCAACCAAATACTTAGTTTTAAGATTACTTACATTTTATTTGCTTTCTCTGGGGTTTCAAATTCTTTCCACAAACTATCAACTTCTTGAAGTTTTTTCTCATTTAGAACCTGCAAAAAAACAAAGTTTTCTTCAAATTGAACAGCTTAGACATATACAGCTACAATCTCAAGTACAACTATTCATGTAAAGTGAAGGTCGTAAATCTATTTCTCCCATTGAAACAATGAGCTGGTTTTCTTGTCCAGCATGAATTTCTGGTCAAATTAGTAAGTAGTCTTTGAGAACTTTCACTATACTCTCACCATGGCCATAATTTTAAGTTTTAAAATTCTACACCTATATGAATATATACTCATTTACTTAAACTTACTCATATTTAATCAAAATTTTTTTTTTAATTCTTAAAAAAAAAAAAAAAAAAAAAAGGGGCAATCCTTCCCAGAACTCACTATGTAGATCAGGCTGGCCTTGCACTCACAGACATCCACCTTCCTTTGCCTCCCAGGTGCTGGGATTAAAGGCATGCCCCACCTCGCCAGGCTCTTCAAAAATTTTTTTAAAACATCAATATCTAAGACAAATTTCTGCAAGTGAGTTTACGGATCAAATAAAATAGGAATCCTTTGGTGCTGGAGATGACTCACCAGTTAAAAGCACGTACTGTTCTTATAGCTTGGTTCCCAGCACCCACTTCAGCAGGCTCACCAGTAACTCTAGATCCAGGGAATTGGAGCCCCCTTTCTGGCCTCCACAGGCACCTGCACTCACATGTACATATATGCATACCTAATTTTGCTGGCAGATGTTGTCAAAAGACTTTTAACCCCCCTCCAATCTCCTATATCCCAAGGATGGCAAAGAACTTGTTATGTAGCTGAGGATGACCTTGAACTCCTGATCCTCCTGCCTCCTGTCCCCAGTGCTGGGATTATCCTGGTTCATGGAGCACTTGAGATTGGACCCAAGGCTTTGTGCATACTAGTTAAACACTTGACAAATAAGCTACATTTCCATTTAAGAGACTTTTTTGGGGCTGGAGGGATGGCTCAGTGGTTAAGAGCACTAGCGCTGGCTGCTCTTGCAGAGGGACTTGGGTTTGATTCCCAGCACCCACATGGTGGCTAACAACCATCCACAACTCCAGTTCCAGATGAATCCGATGCCCTCTTCTGATATCCATGGGCATTGCAAGCACAGGTACACTTACATGCAGGCAACAAAATCATACACATAAAACAAAAAATAAGCATTTTTCAAAAAGAGACTTTCTGTTCACTTAAAATCAAGAGTAAATTTTAAAAATTCTAAAAACCAGCCAGGCATGGTGGTGCACACCTTTAGTCCCAGCACTCGGGAGGCAGAGGCAGGCAGATCTCTGAGTTCAAGGCCGGCTGGGGCTACAGGGAGACCCTGCCTCAAAAAGACACACACACACACACACACACACACACACACGCACGCACAATCTAAAAACCAAAACACCTGGTTTCTTAAGACCTTTACCAATATTCTCTATCAAGCTAACTGCAAGCATAGGATAAGGAAGATTAATCCTTAAATCTACACCCTCATAATTAACATCCCTGAAATTCGGGTGTTTTACAATTATTGGCAGGTCACAAAAGAACAGCATGCTAAATGACACAATATGCAGTTATTATGCATATAATCCTAAGAAAATACAGCTAACAATTGTCAGGCCTATAACACTGCACATTTATTTACACACTAACACTCAGTTATAGCCTGGATTTTGGATCGTTTTAAGAATTTGTGATTATTTAATAAAGTTAATCCTAGGTGGGGCTAGAGATGTAGCTCAGTTGGTAGGAGTGCTGGCCTAGCAAGCCTTGGGCTGGATTTTCAGTACCACATAAAACCAAGTGTGGTAGACCATGCACCTGTAATCTCAGCACTGGTAAGGTGGAAACGAACAGTCAGAAGCTCAAGGTTTCACTACGTAATAACCCTGGTTGACCTAGAACTGGAGACCCACCTGCCTTGACCTTCCAAGTGCCGTGACTAAAGGTAAGTATTACCATGCCCAGGTAATAATAAAGATTTTTTTTTTTTTTTGTCTTTTTGGGAACAGGGTCTCTATGTAGCCCCAGCTGTCCTGGAACTCACTATGTAGACCAGGCTGGCCTTGAACTCACAAAGACTGACCTGCCTCTGCCTCCCAAGTGCTGGGATTAAAGGCATGTGCCACCACGCCAGGCTATAATAAAGATTTTTTTTTTTGGTCTTTTTGGGACGGGGTCTCCCAGTAGCTCCAGCTGCCTGGAACTCTGTAGACCAGGCTGGCCTTGAACTGGGATTAAAGGCGTGCTGGGATTAAAGGCATGCGCCACCATGCCAGGCATATAGCAAAGATTTTTATGGCAATAGCTACACACACACTCTATCTACTTAGAAATGGAAATTGTCCTATCTTTCTCTACACAATAAATTAAAATGGATTTTGTATGCAGATGTTTCCTACATGAAAAACAGTGATTAAAACTAGAAGGCACAGTGGCACATCTTTAACCTCAACATCTAGGAGGTAGGGGCAGGTGGATCTCTGTGAGTTTGAGGCCAGTCTTGTCTATACAGCAAATTTCAGGCTATGTAGTGCAGACAGATCTCTAGTTCAAGGCCAGCCTGGTTTACATAGTGAGTTCCAGGCCAACTGGTCCTACAGTTATTTTGATATATCACAGTGAAAGATTTATCGTCCTCTTTTTTTTTTTTTTTTTTTTAAAAAAAAAAAAAAAAAAAAAAAAAAAAAAAAAAGTCTACATATTACAGACATACTGAAATATTTATGGATAAAACAAATTATCCAGATTTGCTCAAAAACATATTAAAGGAGTGGGTTATAGATAGATAGCACAAAATGAGACAAAGCTCAATTACCAGGTACATGAATGAATATTCACTATCATGTCCCTACATTGAAATGTCTCAGAATAGGAAGTAAAAGACAGGGCCCAGACAGCTCAGCAGGTAAAAAAGCACTATCTTATCTGAAGACAGTGTCCAGAGCATTCACACAGGAACGAATGAAAAGAGCACCACTAAATAAAAAATTATCTGCCCTAATTTTCATTTTTATTTGGGATTTTTCTCTGTTTTACAAGATTTTATGCTAAACTTTTTATCAGAGACAGTATGGACAAGTCATGTTTTATGAAACTTGTTTGGGTACAGGAAGAAATCAGAAACTGCTCAAGAAAGATACAAACACACAATATGACTAGCTTCAAAAGCATTAGGCCAAATGTTAATTGTAGAATACCACTTATGTGAAAAAGACAAAATCATACAGATAAGAAAGATGGTTAGTAGTTGCCTAAAAGAGCTGGAACTGACTTGCGTGGGCATGATTCGTTCTAAAACTTTATGGTAGAGGTATTGCACAACTCAATTTAAAAAGGGGTGGGGAATCAGGTGAGTATTAGACATGTACAGAATATGAAATAATGCTGGAAAACGCATCACATGGTAACTAGATTATATGTATTTGGCACACACATGAATTTCCTGTAGGGTATGGTAGCACAGTCCTGTAGTCCCAGCTCTGGAGAGGCTGAGACAGCAAGTGTGGGTGTTTCAAGGTAGAGAACATGAAGAAATACACAATACTATGTTACACAGAATGTGAATACCACATTTAAATTAATAAAAAATTCATACTCTCAGTGATACTAGATTTCAAGTGTGAAAGAGCTATGTGTGGCCTTTGGCTATTACAGCGGACAGCACAGGTAAAGGTCCAAGACAACCATGCCTAAAGGTTATGTTTAATCTTATGCTCTGTTCTGTGACACAAGCTGAATTTTTGTAATATTCTACAAGTAATTATCATAGCTCCTTCACACGTTGTCTTTGCATTCCTTTATAACTTTAGGGTTTTTTTTTCCTTTGGGGGGAGAGCAGTGTTGGGACTGAACCTAGGGTCTCCAGTAAGTTAATATCCTATTTAACCTTAAGTTTCTTTAAAAAAACCACATATATAGATGCATTATGTATACACTGTATACAAAAAGCACTGCTCACTGTAGAGGCTTAAGAATTTTTTTAAAGCATTCTCTCCAAGCATTATTATTATTTTTTTTAGAAGTCTATTGAGTATACTGCAGGAGGGCAGCAGGCTGAGCAATAACTGGAGCCAGAACTACCCCAAAGCAGAGAATGTAACTGTATGTTGGGGGTTGAACCAAGGTACTCACACATGCTAGGCAAGGGCTCTACCAATGAGCTATATCCCTAGCCCTCTTTTTATTCTGTGATATGGTCTAAGTTATGTAAGCTGGCTTTGAATGTGTGATCCTCCTGCCTCAGCTTCCAGAGTAGCAGGATTACAGGCATGTGTCACCAGGCCTGTCTTCCAAATATAATTCATACCCCAGCATTTTGAAATATCATGGGAAAGGAACGTAAGTAACCTGTATTGTAGATCTAGTTTTTTAGAAATGAGTCCCACACCATATTCACCTTCATAAAGTATACAATTCCCTTTTCACAAAATTATGCAACCATTAGCACTAATTCCAGAAAATTACGGGTGTCTACGTTATAGGTAAAGGCTAAATATTAATGTCAATTAATTATAAACAAAGCAATGTTTCTGTAATATTCAAATCTGACTTTAATTTCGCAAACGCTAGGTTATATAAAAACTACAAGGCTTGAACGTTAATTTGAAAATTAATTGCAATAGAATACTCAAGACTTTTGAATAGGTAAGGATACTCAATCAGTAATTCATCAAGAGACATCACTGAATGCTGTTTTATGATCCAGATCTAGAAATCAGACAACTGCAAACACTAATCCCTTCACACTTCAGTGGCTACCAGTGGATATTTCTCTGCATTCTTCCTGTCCTCCACAAACATAAATAGAAGCCCTAGGTTTAACCAACAACTACAGTTGCACTACACATATGCTTTGTCTAGTACTTTTTGCTTGGTATCAACACATAAATTTAGAATATGAACATTTTGTATTAGCAGCGCTCAAAAGAATGCCTGGCACGAATACCCTACCTCACTGTTCCTAACATCTCAGCATTCCATCGTAGGAAGATCCCATTGTCTAACCATTTCTGTGCTGATGAACTTGTAAGTTAATTTCTAAACTTTCTGCCTTTAAAGAAACAACTCTCAAATTGATAGCACCAGCCCAGATGTCTCCAAGCTTCAAATCACGAACTACATAATTTACTCAATTCCGTTACCACATCTAATAGGCAAACTTTCACGCAGCCCAAACCGGAAATTATCACCGGTACCGGCAACAACCGTCATACTTATCTTTAACGAAAAAGCTCCATTCACTGCATCAGTTAATACTGTTACCCTCAACGTTTCCCCCCATGTTAATTTTAATCCAATCAACCTCATGTTGCGTAAAGTATCCTTTCTCCCTTGCTGTTTTCTATTTTCACAGAGCAAAGTAATCTACAAGCAGTTCACCCTCTACTCAAAAGATTTCAAATCATGCCTCAAAACACCCTGATTAAAATCCTGGACTAGGGGTGTAGCTGTTGACAGGGCGCTGGCCTAGCATTGCTAATATTTTAAAAAATGTAACCCGGGGGCTGGAGAGATGGCTCAGTAGTTGAATCCTAGCTGTTCTTGCAGAGGACCAGGTTTTGATTCCCAGCACCCACATGGCAGCTAACAACCGTTCATAACTCCAGTTCCAGGGGAGCTGACGCCCTCTTCTGACCTTCGCGGGTACTGCACAACACCAGTGCACCGACCTACATGCAATACACTCATACACATAAATTTTTTTAAAAATGCAATCCGAGCTCAGGATCGCCTGCAAAACGGGATCGTTCCATCCTTTAAACGGCACTGGGCAGAGCCTCCCAAGGCAAGAGCAGATCGCCCTCATTGGCTGGGCCACGTGTTCACCGAGACCCGGGGCCTTCTGACTTTCCACTTCTTTTGTAAGCTCGAGGACTTAACGGCAACCAACGTTCCTCAGAGGTTTTGGCCTCCCCCTAAGTCTTATCCACTCTTCTCGCCTGCAATACAGGCGTCTCCCCCAACACCTCTATCGCCCACCTACCTTAAAGATGGCGTAGCCAACGGACGTTTCAAACAACACCAACATAGTGAGGCAGGGGAAGAGCGACTCTTGGCTTGCCCTGAGCTCCTAGGCCACTGCAAAAAGCCCAACTCTACAGCCAGAGAAGGACGCCTGGGCCCGGGCCGCGTGCTCGGCCTCTCCACGAACCGCCAGACCACGTTACCTACGCGTTCCACGGCTCGCCACACGAAGTACGCCAGGACGCGCCCAGGGAGCCGGGATATTACGTCACTTCCGCCAGCACGCTGCCGTAGAGCGTGCCGTCACTTCCGTACTGTTCCCGCCAGCGGAGGGGGCGGGGCAGGAGTGGGCCAGTGAATATCGCGAGACTTCTTAGGGCCTGAATTGCATTTTGACTTTTCCAAATTGTTTGCTACTAAGAAGAGCAAGCTCACTTTCTGTTATTTTTTTTAACACCCGCTTCCGGCTTCCGAAATGATACATTCTATCTTGAAAGAAATGTAGAGCTGTTTGGGTGTAAGTCTACTGCAGACATCTGGAATTTAAAGTAGTACTTAATTGGCTGTTTTTTATCAGGTCTCCAAAGAATGAGGTGTATATAAATGGAGTCCTAAGTCTTCAAAGACATCAAAAATGGAATTTCAGATTCTTTTACAACTTAGATATTCAAGAGTGTATATCACCTTCCTTTTCCTCATACAGCTAGCTGTTCTTTAACCTTTAAGAAAATAAGTGGTTGCGGCTGGAGAGGTGGTTCAGGGGTTAAGAGCACTGATTGTGCCTGCAGAGGACCCAGGTTCAGTTCCCAGCACTCATATGGCGGCTGACAGCGGTCTGCGGTCTGTAACTTCAGTTCATTGCAAGACATGAGTGCACTTACATACACTCAGACAATACACTCATACACATAAAATGAAAATAATAAGTTTTTTTTTAAAAAAAAGAAAGAAAAATGGTTTGAGCTCTTGCAGCCGGGTGTGGTGGTGAAGCCTTTAATCCTAGATTGCTTTCATATACATGCATGCCTCTTCTATTTTTATTGTTTGTTAAAATGATCTCAAGATATGAAGTTAGGCTTTGTCTCAGTGTAATTTCTTTCACTATTCTTTAAAGATTTATTTTTATTATTTTAAATTATTGTATGTGTGTATTTTGTGGGTATGTGCACATGAGACACTGGATTTCCTGGAATTTGAGTAATAGACATTATGAGCTGCTAAATATGGGTGCTGGAAATTGAACTTGGGTCCCCTTGCCCCATTTTTCTAGCTCTCCTCAGTGTAATTTCTTTTGTGAGAACTTTCAGTCTCAGCAGCTGGGTTGATTTTGAGACAATATTGTATGTATTTCAGGCTGGCCTCCCATTCCCTATGTACCTGAGAATGACCTTAACCTTTTAAAAACTACTTATTTTTATTTTATGTAGATGAGTGTTTGGATGCATGACATGGGTGCAATGCCTGATGAGGACAGAAGAGGGTGTCAGACCCCCTGGAAATGGAGTTACTGACAGTTGTTAGCCACCATGTGGGTTTTGGGAACTGAATCTGGGTCCTCTGCAAGAGCAGTCAGTGCTCTCTCCAGCCCGTTTAAACTTTTTTTTTTAATTTGTTTTGTTTTGTTGAGACAGGGTCTCCCTGTAGCCCCAGATGGCCTGACTGACTATGTAGACCAGGCTGACCTCCATCTCCACAAAGATCATATGCCTCCACACTCACTTTATGTAGTTAGAGGGATGGAGCCCAGGGCTAGGGAAGCAATCTATCAACTGAGCCACATCTCCAGTCCTGTTTGGTTTTGTCTTTGAGATGGTCTCACTCTGTATCCTCCTACCTCAGCCTCTAAAGTGCTGGGGTTAAATACTTGTGTCACCATGTATACACACTGACTGGATTTAAACACTCCAATTCATCTACAAGTCTAATAGAAGTATTACTCCCTCGTTTTCCAAGCTTATGAACAAATTGCCTGTAGACATTAATTTGCACTGTACTGAAGATTGTGAAAAAGTAAATAACTTGATGTTTTTCAGCAGTTTCAAAGCTTGGGTAAAGAGGAAAGAAAAGCCGGGCATGGTGGTGCATGCCTTTAATCCCAGCACCTCGGGAGGCAGAGGCAGGTGGATCTCTGTGAGTTCAAAGCCAGCCTGGTCTACATAGTGAGTTCCAGGACAGCTGGGGCTTCAGGGAGACCCTGTCTCAAAAAGACCAAAAAAAAAAAAAAAGGAAAAAAAAAACCCAGTTTGGGTAGCAGAAACGATATAAGTGTGAGAAACACAAGGGGATCCTAGGGTACAGGCAAGAGCATAATTGATTATAGCTATAGTTATAATCCCATCATGTTCAGGGAGGCAAGAGAAACCAAAATACAAAGGGAGAAGAAGGAAATAACAGCGTAATGGGGGTAACACCAAAATATCTTGATTTGGGAGAAGGATGCACACAGGCAGGTAAGATACTTTCTCTTTTTAGAGTATTGACTCATACCAGATTTTGTCTAGCATTCTTAAGAAAGTGTCATTTGTTAGCAAGTTCAATCTATAACTTACACTTAACTATGTCCATATAGAGCACTATGCTGAGCTATTCATCAAATAAGACCTGATTAGGTAATTCTTAAAATGTAAATGAATAAATACTCTCAAGTACAATTATTCTCCTTACATCTGCAAATTTGCATCATTTTCCCAGAATGAAATGACACCACTTACTCAATGAGAAATCTCTTACATGCATCTCCCAGAATTTGTCCTTGAAAACTGCACTTGCCTAATCCCCTCAATATTATCCCTTCAGAGCTGTCTTGCATTTGGATATCAGCCAAATAGAGTAATTGTCTGAAAAGTTCCATATAGTACCTTATTAAACTAACTTCTAGGTCAAAGAGAGATGGTTCAGAGATGTATTAAGAGGAAAATATGGGGCCAGGCATTGAGGTGCACACCTTTAATCCCAGCACTGCTGGGGGCTGAAGAGATGGCTCATTGGTTAAGAGCACTGGCTGCTCTTGCAGAGGACCTGGGTTCAATTCCCAGTACCCACATAGAGACTAGCAACCATCTTGATTCTAGTTCCAGGGGATCTGACACCCTCTTTTGACCTCCCCAGGCATATGGATTAAGAGGAAAATATGGAGCCAGGCATTGAGGTGCACACCTTTAATCCCAGCACTGCTGGGGGCTGAAGAGATGGCTCATTGGTTAAGAGCACTGGCTGCTCTTGCAGAGGACCTGGGTTCAATTCCCAGTACCCACATAGAGACTAGCAACCATCTTGATTCTAGTTCCAGGGGATCTGACACCCTCTTTTGACCTCCCCAGGCATTGTATGACACGGGTGCACTTACATACATGCAGGCAATACACATAAAATAAAAATAATAAATAAAATATATATAAAAAAAGAATGTGAATATGGGGAGGTGGAGAGATGGCTCAGCAGTTAAGAGCACTGACTGCTCTTCTAGAGGACTCAGGTTTAGTTCCCAGCACCCACGTGGC